GAGTCCAAAATGAGTGTGGCCAGGTGGGAAATGAGATTTCTGTTCTGTCCCACCCCACCCCACCTCCTTAAATGGAGATCAAGTAGTTCACGACTCCATCGTCCAAACAAAAGGGCAGACGGTACTGATGAGGTGTGAGGACCAAGACTGATTGGTACAGGATAATGAGATTTCCCAGTCATAGAGTAACCTGGGGCATGGCGGAGCATTCAAAGAAGTCCAAAATGAGTGAAACTGGGATGGATATTAGCCTTCCTAAAATACTGCTTCTATTTCCTAACTCTATTACTCAAGTGGTTCCCTGTTGCTTATAGGATTAAATCTTAGCTCCTAAGCCTAACATTTAAAGCTCTTTATCACCTCTTCTTAACTCAAAATATATTCAGAAGTTCCCCAGCACAGTCCTTGCAGGCAGGTCTCTGAACAAATTTTCTGTGAATATTTTGCACATTCCTATCTCCAATTCAACCCCACAAACATTTATTAAGTGCTTACCATGTGCAAGAAATTGTACTGGGCACTGGATTTCATGCTGGTGTGACTCTAGGCTTATTACTTCCCTGCTATATCCCACAAACACACATCAAGTTTTCTTGTCTGGAATGTCTTTCTTTTCTGCTCCATCTGCTGAAATCCTACACTTCCTTAAGGCCCAACTCAAGCCAGCTGTGATATATTCAGTGGCTCTGAAATCAGCAGGTGTGTTCAAATCCCAGCTCTGCCATTTACTAGCTGTGTGTCCTGGGCTAAAACACTTACACTCTCTGAGCTTTAGTTTCCTTATTTGTAAAATGCAGATAATAGTTGTTAGGCTAAACGAGGTTTTTATGTGGATTAAATAAAATAACAGCTATGAAGTACTTTGTTTCCAACTTTAAAGTGTGATATGAGTCAGATATTTCATGAATTCTTCTGTAATTACTCTCTAAAGTAGCCTTTTCCCCTTTAAAGATTCTCTCAGCACTTGTTTATACATTACATATCACCTAATCTAACTCTTACTAATATGTTATCTTAAAATGATTCTGGTTGTTTCATTTCCCTAGCTGGAATGTAAGGTCCTCAAGGGAGAAATTATGTCTTTTATTTCCTTTGTATCCACCGCAGCACCTAGCACAGAGCTTTGTACATTAAAAGCTTAAAAAAAATGTTGGAGGGGCAGCTAGGTGGTGCAGTGGATAGAGCACCAGCCCTGAAGTCAGGAGGACCTGAGTTCAAATTCGGCCTCAGACCAAACACTTGACACGTACTAACTGTGTGACCTTGGGTAAGTCACTTAACTCTGATTGCCTCACTAAAAAAAAAAAAATTTTTAAATTTAAATAAAAAAAAAAGTTGGGTGAACTTTCATATGCATATATATACATATATATGCATATACAATATATGTATATAGAAAGAATCTTCCAAAAGACACACACATATACCTGTGTAATATATACATATATGTATGTATAAGTGTGTGTTTGTGTATGTATGTGTGTGTGTACATATAACAGAGAGAGGGAGGGAGGAGGATGGCAAAGGGGGCAAGGAGACAGAGATAGAAAGAGAGAGGCAGAGACAGGGAGACAAACATAGAGACACAGACACACACAGACATACACATAGAGAAAATGAACTCCATGACCTATTTGACTGAAGTTGTAGAATCAGTGGTTCTTGTTGTTAAGTCATTTTAGTCGTGTCTGACTCTCTGTGACCCTATTTGGGGTTTGTTTTGGCAAAGAAACTGGAGTGGTTTGCCATTTCCTTCTCCAGACCACTTTACAAATGAGGAAACTGAGGCAAACAGGATTATGTGAACTGCCTAGGGTTACACAGCTAGCAAGTATCTGAGGTCACATTTGAACTCAGGTCCTCCTAACTCCAGATCTGAAACCTAGTAGCTAAGTGGTGCAGTGGATAGAGTGTTGGGCCTGGAGTCAAGAAGACTCAACTTTCTGAGTTCAAATCTGGTCAGACACAATTGAAAAATGACTGAAACCATGGTTAAGATGAACCAAAATATGTTTACAAGAAAAGAATCAATTCAATGGCTCTGACCATATGGGTCTTAGAGTAATTGAAGTAAAGTTAAATCCCTTATTTGCTAGTAACATGGCAGAAGGAGATGTGGATCAAACCAATGATTTTAATTTCTTTTTCAAGCCATGATTATCATGAGAAACAACCAAAACAATTGGAACTAAAATTACCTTGAACAACATTATACAGGATTACAAAGACTTATAGTGACTCTGAAAACTGGTTTTGCAAAGAGTTACATGTTCCTAGGAGGAAAACAGAAACAGATAGCTGGGGGTGACTCAGGTTAAGCTAGAGTGGCCCCAGAGTCAAGCTGCCATGATACATAACCAATTCTGACATCATGCCTATGTGTCATGAACAACACTAAACTGAAACATGCCGGAACAATGACCAACCACTATTCCAAAGAACTAAGATTGAAACACACTGCCCTCCTTCTGATAGAGAGGTAATGAATTGAATGCAGATTTAGATTTGGCCATAGCTAATGCAGAAATTTGTTCTGTTTGACTATACATATTTATAAAAGGGGTTTTGTTTTTCTTGCTTTCTCAATGTGGTAGGGAAGGGACTGAGACAGAGAGTGGCTGAGACAGAAGGTGGATCTTCATTTGAAAATAAAATAATATTTCATTGAAAAAGAAACTTGTTTGATCTGATATTTGGGGCTATTTACTATTCAATCAATTCTCATTTTATATTGCTAAAAACAGATGAACTGACTATACATAGACATAGCTATAATAAAATAATTTTGTGGCATTTAATTTCCTTCCATTAACAAAAAAAATCACCTTTTCCCCATTTGTTTCTATCTTACTGATTTGGGGTAATGATTGGTCAAGAAAATTTTTATTGGATAAATCATCTCTCTATCTATCAAGACACTATCCCTCATCAGACCCTCATCAACTCCCTCATAGACTATTGCAAAGGTCTTTTCATTAATCTTCTTGCTGTCAATCTCTACAGCCCCCAAACAGTTGCTAAACTGATATTCCAAATGTGTAGGTCTTATAACGTCACAACTCTATTCAATAATTTTCAATGTCTCCTATGGCTTCATTAGAATGGAAGCCCTCTGAGGACAGAGACTGTTTTTATCTTTCTCCTCAGTGTTTAGCATTGCCCTTGTACATTATAAGCACTTAATGAGTACTTATTGATTGGTTGATTTTTTTTTTTGATGAGTTCTTTGGATTGCTACCCATTTCTGGGACATCTTTAGACTAGACCATACATCTGTACTTTTGCTAATTTATACTTACATATTCCAGAAAGCACCATATGTCTCAGAATCAAACCAGTCTCAGGAGGTGCTATGCCTAGCTGATGGTACCTAGGCATCTCCCTTCATTGAACCAAACTGTTGTTCCAGTCATCATCATTTAGGCAATATTCTGCATTTGCTACTTCTTCCCCATGTGACCTTGGGTCTATATCTCACTGAATATGTTTCCTCATCAGTAAAATGGGAAAAATAATTTCACTAGTTACCTTACAGGATTGTTGTGAGGCATGGATTTTGTAAACCTTAAATCTATATAAACTAAAGAAATGGAGCTATTTGTCTAAATCAGAAGTTCTTAATCTTTTGTGTCATGGACCCTTCGCCTGTCTAGCAAAGCCTTATGGACTTTTTCTGAGAATAATGCTTTTAAATGTATAAAATAAAATACTTAGGATTACAAAGAAAACCAATTATACTGAAATAAAGTTATCACAATCTTCTTTTTTTTTTTAAAAGCGAGTTACAGACCCCAGCTTACATCTAGTGCAAATGAAGCATATATTCTAGACGACAGGTATCAAACATCCAGCCCACTGACACAGGGACTCAAATCAGATTAAAATATAATTGGAAAATATTTAACAAAATAAATACAAATACAACAGAATATACATGGGGTTTTCTATTTGAGTTAGACAGCACTGTGCTAGACCATAGCATTATCATTATGTTTTTGGCCAACTCCATATCCCTTCATCCCTATTATTGTTGCTTTGTAAGTTAAATTCATTTTAGAGCTGTGTTCTAGGATGAGCCTGTCTCAAGCCAATGGCCCCAGTAGTTTAGGGTCCATTTTGAAACAATAGGTCATTCAACATTTAACAAAAAGAAATTTACTTAGCCATGGCAGGAGAGGGATATTCAACCAGGTTAGGCATTGGGGACACCAAGTTGATCCAGCTGAGTGAAAGTCCTTTGTCTGAGTTGCCTTTCACGATTCATCCTCTAAGCATCTAAATGCCCTTGGAGCTCCTCCTAGCTGTCCTGAGGTGATAAGGAAGTGACCTTAGTGCCTTGAGCCAATCATATCCTGAGGAAGCTCTCAATTCCTTTTAAGGAAAATTAGCTTAATTTGTATGGAGGGCAATGGGGTTTTCATAATACTCCTACCATAATCCGGAAGGAATCTTAGTGATCTAATACCATGGAGGAGGAGGACACTGAGGCCCAGAGAGGTTAAGTGAGTTGTACATTGTCACATAATAGTCATGAATTAGTCACATAGTAGTCAGTGATAGAGCAGGGATCTGAACCCAGGAGGCTACCGAAAAGTTTTTTTTTTTTTAAATCTTTCCTCTCCCATTCAAGCTGGCTGTGAATAACTGGCAAAACATATTGGTTGTCACTCACAAAGCTAAGTCACGTCAGAATCTATTGAGGAGTACTATTGAGATTCATCTACTTGTGACCATCCAAGTTACTGTGATTTTTGACCCAAGAAAAAGTTTAATTTTCTTTAGTCTAAATCTCTCCATGTATCATGTGTCTAGCTTTCTTCCGACCTTCATCCTTTGGTCAACATGATTATTTCTTGTTTACTTGGCTAATCTAGTATTTGTGTCATTAGTCTTTGTGACTAATGTTTCACCTTTTGAATTAGAGCTGAACAAAGCTACCTATAATTTCGGTTCTTTTGAAATAGACTCACATCTGTTTTCTCTTCCTGGTTTGGGTGAAGCAGACAATGTTCACGGCATCATTGGTTTTGGAGGTGGAAGGGGGATTTAGACCTCTTCCTGGCATCTTATTTTGAAGAGGACAAAACTAAGTCCCTAACAGGATAAATGACTTGCCCAAGGTCATACAGGTAAGTAAATATCAGAGCTGGGATTCCAACTCCACTTCTCTGAGCCCAGGTCCTGCTCTTCCCCAACTGGAGGTTAGAAAGGGTTGATGTTAGAGGAATATATTTATATACTTTAGTAGTAACAAAAAGATTTCTTGTGAGGATTAATAAAAGATTCTGAAATGCATTGAAATCTGTAGACAAATAAACTTCACTTATGTTGCTTTTTTTATGGAATAGCTCAATTTTCCAGGGCACATCAAACCTGCTCGTCTAGGCAGTGTAAACTTATTTCAGCTTTATGTGTCTCTGAGTACACCCCAGAGAATACCTGAAATCTTGCATAAATCAACACTGACTTTAAAAAAAATTCTCTTTTGTCAGCTTGCTGAGAATAGGATTGGTCTCAAAAGAGGCAAAGTTGGAGCAGTGATATACCCTACATAGCTAGAACAGGAAATATAGTTGTATGGGTCTGATCCTGGTATTTTGTTTCTATAGAGGCATCTTGACTATGATTTGTGAATGTCCAAGGATTCTCAAGTAAGGAGCATGTGGCTTACATGTGGTCTGAGGTAAGTATAGCGGGGTTGACTTTCATCTACATGAGGTCATTTCAGTGTAGCAAGGAAGGCCCTTCTGATAATAAAAATACTTCTTTGCTCCCTGATGCCTGAAATTTTACCATTAGGATTTCTATCTTTTGACAAAGGGAAGTTTTCAATCCAAGAGTTACCCACATTGATGAAATCGCAGGGAAAAAAGGAAAAAAAAGAAAGAAATGGTCTAATTGAGTTTGATGTTGGTGACTATTAGTGATTCATTATCTTCAAAGGAATTTAACTTTTATAGATCTCATATTCTTTATCTCCAGGTAACTAGGATAATGATTTCTAAGGTACTTTAAGATCCTAGAATCAAAGCATCTTACTAGGATGGAACACACCTGCATTATATTTGTATGTGATTTTGACTGGGTTCCTTAAAAGTTGATCCTTGTCCTTGGTCATTATTGAAGAAGCTGAGATTCAGAATGAGTTCAGTTGTCCAGGAAACTATCCCTTCATGGGAGAACACAACTTTGTTCATGAGAGGAAATCTTTTTTTTTGTTTTTGTTTTTGTTTTTGTTTTTTTTTGGTGAGGCAACTGGGGTTAAGTGACTTGCCCAGAGTCACACAGCTAGTAAGCGTTATGTGTCTGAGGCTGAATTTGAACTCAGGTCCTCCTGACTCCAGGGCCATCGCTCTATGTGCCACCTAGCTGCTCCGAGGGGAAATCTTAACGTTAGATCTCCCACTGTCAGTAAGCTGAGGGTGTAAACTTCTGTAAACTCAGGAAAGCTCTGGATCACAGTATTCATACTCTCCTGACTACATCATATCACATCACGTATAGGAGCCCTGTGTTAAGATAGTGGAAAACATCAAAAAGTCATGTCTCAAGGGAGGTGCGGTCTTCTCTCCTGGTTCATAATACCTTTTCCAAAATGAGATGTAGACTGGATGGCAAGCTGAGAGTGAAGGCTAATTAGAATCAAGGGTGGGGAGTCTGCTACCTTGAGGCCACACGTGGCCCTCTAGGTCCTCAAGTGAGGCCCTTTGACTGAATCCAAACTTCACAGAACAATTGGAGTTACTGTTGGATTTGGGTGGGGTAGGCCAGAAGTGTTTCTGGCCCCATGGTGATTAGTCTGAATGCTGGCATGTTGCTTCCTTGGTATGTGCCAGAAGGAAATCTTAAAAAGCTTACGTAATTTAGGATAGCATAAATCTATAGGTTAGTGTTATCTTTGGATATTGCCAGGGTTTTCTCTAAAAACCTTCTATGGGCAGTTGCTCTGTTATAAGAGCATAGGATTTAGAGCTGGAAGAGACCTTATAGAAAGTCAGTCAATCAACAAACATTTATTAAGCACCAACTGTGTACCATGCACTGTACTAAGTGCTGGGAATACAAAAAGAGTCAGAAGACATCCCCGCCCTCAAACAATTCACAATCTAATGGAGATTATAGGATAACAAATGGAAGGCTGAGAGGGACTTTAGAATCTCTCCCTTCATTTTACAGATGAGGAAACTGAGCCTCAAGGAGGTAAAGGGACTCATCCCTTTAAGTGCTGGAGTCAGTGAGTCAATAGTCAATAAACATTTATTAGGAGCCTACTACGTGCCAGGCACTGTGGAATGTGCTCCAGATAAAAAGAAAGGCAAAAGACAGTCTCTCTTTGCAGTCTAATGGTGGAGAACACTGGAGGATTTTAACGAAAGTGCTCCTGATACCAAATAAATCGCTAGATCGACAACACCATGAATATTTCTTAGGACAGATTTTTGTGTTTCAAGCCTGGTAGTAGAAACTACCAGATAGGTAGATGAGGTCACTTGGGAGTATATCTAGCTGCTGCAGCTGTAGCAGGAAGCTCAAATCAGGACAGTTTTAGAAATAATTTTAAATTTCCTAAGTAATTACCAGCTAAATCTGTCCCACTCCCTGCCCATTTCCTTACTTCTTGTAAGGGAAGGAGACATTTAATCAATTGCCAGGCATTTATTAGACACCTATACTATGTTATAGGTACAGTGCCAAGATCTGGGGATTTTAATAAAATCAAACAGATAAATCTATATTTTATTTATACTATGTAGTATTTATTTTGTTGATAGGGTTCAGATAATCCTGAATTTTTAAAAGATAGAACTCAAGCTATCTCCTTATTAATGGAGAGTCCACATCCTTTCAGAGACAAAAGGCGTAAGTTGAGATTGCTCCATAAATCCAAAACTAACTTTTATCTTTATCCCAGCAATGGGCTTGGATCAGACCTTTGCTTTTTTCCGCCCTTTAAAAGGAGGAATGAGTTTGCAGTTTAGGGAGTAGGAGTGTGTATGTGTGTGTTTGTGTATTGGTAGGTGGGAAGATGACAAGTGGTAGATCTAAGTATGCGCCCAGTCATATGATGGGAATAGTTATGTAATATCTAAAGAAGAGGTTTCAGGGTGGGGTGGAAGAGAGGAAATGAGGTAGAGCAGAAGTTGCTTTTACCACTGTAATTCTGTGAAAAGAAAACAATAATAAAAGCACCACTTTCAGGATTATTTGTACTCTTTCAAGGACAAATTTAGGGTGTCTTAGCTAGTTTTAAACTACTAAATGTTAAAACTGCCTTAAAACTGAATTAAGACTTTTGGCACACTTGGTATAAATACTGCATACCTATTTATGAGCTAATAATTATCTACTGTATTGTAGTACTCAGTTTTTTTTTGTAATTTTTAAAAAGTGTAGCTAGGTGGATAGAATGTTGGAAATTAAAGTTAAGGAGACTTGTGTTCCAATCCAGTCTTGTACAGTAGCTGTGTGACTCTGGGAAAGTCATTTAATCTTTACCCCAGTTTCCTCATCTGTAAAAGGGGAAGGGAATAAATACATTTGTATACTACACCTACTACGTGACAGGCTTTGTGTTAATCATTTTTTGTAAATATTATCTCTTTGGTCCTCACAACAACTCTGCAGGGTAGGTGCTGCTAATATCTCCTATTTACAGTTGAGGAAACGGAGGCAGAGGTTAAAGTGACGGGCCCAAGGTCACACAGTAAGTGTCTGAGGTCTGATCTGAACTCTATCTTCAGGCCCAGCACACTATCTACTGTGCCACCAGCTGCCTCTGGGTATAATAATTACCTTACATACACTTAATGGGTACGATAATAAGCACCTATATCACAGAGTGGTTGTGAGGATTAAATAAGATATCTGCAAAGTGCTTTGCAAACCTTAAAGCACTACATAAATTCTTCTTCTTGTTGTTGTTATTTTGGGGATTGTAAGGGTACGAGGGAGATGGGATGAGATTTGGGATAGGGGATGAGAGAGCCAAGACTTTGTTCAATTTTGTTTAGAAGCCTCAAATATAACTGTTCATCCCTGCTTTCAAAGAATCCCTCCACTTCTCCACCTGGCCTCTTTTGCTAAATATGCAAATGCCCATAAAAAGAACACTCTTCCTTAGTAGCTGTCAATAATGGGTCTGTTCATTTTAAAGAATTGTCATTGTTTCGAGGCTAAAATTGAATGAGCTTTTGGGTCCTTGATGTGAAACTGTTCCATGCCTGCCACCTACTGGCTAATATATATTACATCATCTATAGAACATAAACTAGCTTTAAGAATGATAGTTGCCTGGAAAATATGAAGGTTCAAGACTCCTCCTCTCAACAATCATTTCTTGGGGTTCTTGGGATTTCCCACCCTTGGGGTTTCTTGGGGTTCTTGCTTTTAATCTTGACAGCCGCTTTTCAAACAACTGCACTGACAGACATTTAAATGCACCTGTGAGAGGTAGCATTCTCCTCATCACCTAGCCTTCCAATATACTCCACTCTTTATTCCCACTCTCCATTTCCAATTTGTTCCCAAACCGTGTAAAGTTTGCCTTTGAAACTTCTCTCCTATTCTCTCCTCTGACACCACCACCACCCCAGTGCAGTCTCTCATCATTTCACCCCCAGACTGTTGTAATGGCTTGCTGATTGGTCTTTCTGCTTCAATTATCTCCCCACTTTAGTCCATTCATCCATAACTCGGCTACCAAAGTGATTTTCCTAAAGTGCAGGTCTGATCATATTATCCTTTCTGCACTCCACTCCCATAATCTTGAGGATCAAGCAGGCAGGTAATAAGCATTGATTAAAACATTTACTAAGTGCCAGGCACTGTGCTAAGTGTTAGGGATTCAAATAAAAGCAAAAAAGAAAAAGAGTCCTTTTTCTCAAGTAGCTTATCTTCTAATGGGTGGTGGTGGTGGTGGTAATGGAAGAAAAAGGGAGAGCTGAAAAGAATTTGGAGGGCCAGAAGTGAAAGTACCTGCATGGAACATGATGGTGAAGACCAGCGTTAGCACAGCCAGAAGGGAAATGAAGTATGGTGAGCCTGGGCCGGTCTCCAAAATGGAGGGCCTAGAGGTAACTCATCCATGGGAGAAAAGGGATGGCATGTTAAAGAGATGTTTTGGGTGGGAAACCCCTAAGCATGACAGGAACTTCTCGGGTGAAAAAGCAACTGAGTGTCAAAATCTAGAGTTAGAAGCGCTTCTGAAAGAATCAAATATAAAATCTTCTATTTGGCTTTTTTTTGTTTTTGAGGCAATTGGGGTTAAGTGACTTGCCTAGGGTCACATAGCTAGTGTCAAGTGTCTAAGGCCGGATTGGGCCGATGCTCTATCCACTGTGCCACCTGGCTGCCCGCCCCCCTTTTTTTGGCTTTTAAAACCCTTTGTAACCTAGGCCCTTCCTACCTTTCCAATCTTCTTACACTTTACTCCCACATAACTCAGAGATCTACTGACATTGGCTTCCTTTGTTGATGCTTGAATGAGACATTCCATTTGCTGACTCCGGGCATTTGCACTGGCTATGCTCCCTTTCCTCTCCTCTGACTCCCAGCTTCCCTGGCTTCCTTCCAGTCTCAGCTAAAACCCCACCTTCTGCAAGAAGCCTTTCCCAGTCTCCCTAAACTACAAACCTCTTCCTTTTGAGATTTTTTCCCTCTTTATCTTTCATATATCTTGTTAGTACATAATCGTTTCCATACTGCCTCTTTCATCAGACCATGAACACCATGAAGGCAGGGACAGTTTCCTCCCAGTGGTTAGCCTTAGTCTGGAACCTAGTAGACATCTAATAAATGCTTCTTGCTTGGACCACTTACAGTCAGAAAGATCCTGAGTTCTATCCTTGCCTTTGATATATACTGGCTATATGACTGTTGGACAACTTTTCAAAAGTTCACATTTTAAGTAGGTATTTTCTCATCCAGCTGGAATTCACTGAGGTTTAAGGTGTGAGAGGGGGGCCTAAATCCCTTTCCTGCCTAATTGAAAATAGAGGCTCAAAGTCATCTAACTCTGTAGTCTGCAACTGTAACCTCCCCTGTATTAGGAACATATTACAAAGTGTATTTGTTAAATAATTAATCATGTCCCCAGTTTTTATTTTCTAAAGATTTGCCAAACAAATGCTAATCTTTTTTTTTTTTTTTTGGTGAAGCAATTGGGGTCAAGTGACTTGCCCAGGATCACACAGTTAGTATCAAGTGTCTGAGGTCACACTTGAATTCAGGTCCTCCTGACTCTAGGGCTGATGCTCTATTCACTACGCCATCTAACTGCCCCTAAATACCAATCTTCTGAACACATTTAGTTGGATATCTGATGCATTAACTGTAGTGCACTGAATTTTTTTTGGATCAGTAGCAGATAGATTTGGGGATACCTTCTTTGTAATTATGTTTTATAGTTTAGAAGTTAAAAAAAATCAACTCTTTCATTAGCTTTTCTTTTCAGTGTTTCCCATAATAGTCTTGCCTGCTTATTTTTCCAAATGACTTTGTAGAGACTTGTAAAGAAACCCCTTAGCATATTGATTAGTATTGCAATAAATATAGAAAAAAATTTTTTTTGAGCCCTAGTGTTACTCTCTTACCCAGGCTAGAAGGATCCCTCTCATAGGACTGATCTGTATACTGATCATCTTTGAGCTGCCCCATGCCCAGCCTGGGCTGTTTTGCCCCTCCTTAGAGCTCTCTGCTCCTCCTCCCTCCAGTTCTTCCTTCCGAGGGACTCTCTATATTGATGTCAGACTTAGCGATGATGGGCTCTGGTTCTATTGGAGCTCAGAATTCCTACCAGTCTCGTGTTTCCTAGTAATAGGGTTTATAGGCACGTGCCACCATGCCCAACAATGAATTTTTTGAGTATTACATAGTGTAGTTGATTCTTGTCATTTGTGATAGTTATATTTTATAAAGTTACCACGAACACTGCATTAATGGGTACTGAATCATTGCTCTTAGGAGAAATATAGGGTTAGGTCCTTCCAAGCCTCTAGTCACAACATTTATTTTAGTACTTTCCAGAGTGACTTTATGTACCTATTGGCAAATTTCTCTTCCTTTTTCTGATTGTACCATATTGTTGATTCATTAGCATTGAACTCATGGCCAATAGTACTATACCTCACGCCTGAATGAAGCTTATCTAACACCCAGATTTTATCCATAAGGCACATCACAGCCTTCTTGCGCATAGTAACAATACACAGTACTTTGGAACTATGCTTGGGGGCCATTTTAAACAGGGAAATTACTAACAAAAAGCACAAAAATGAGAAAAAGGAGGCTACTCTTTAAGACTATAAATTGCAGAGAAGATTCTAACCTGCATTAGTAGAAAATTTCCTCACTCAAATGTTCCCTGTTCCAAGAATGCAGACAATTTTTATTAGTCTTCTGGTTCTCACTGTAGGCGTTTTGTTGTAAGCAGAGAAATCTGGGGCTGAGTAGCAGGAAATCTCTGCTGCCTGCAGGGACCAGGATGGTGAAAAGCAGCCAGGGGATTCTCCAGGCCTTGGGAGGAACTGTACTCCAGAAATGGGGGTGGGGGGAACCCTTTCAAGCTTGAGGAGAGAGAATCTCTTTAATTAGTTGGGACCCATCAGTGAGTCTAAGCCAAGGTGGTCTCAATAACTCAGGCTTTCAAACATACCCAGTCAGAGAAATCCCTAGTGGTAGATGAGATGGTCCCCACTGAAGGTTGAAGGGGAAGTTCATGAATATGGACAGGTTTGTTGTCAGGTTCAGAGAAGGCTCCAAGACTATAGGTCAACCAGGCATAAGGCATCAGCACCAATTTCTCCCCTTATAGTGATTATCAAAAAAAAGAATTTTTTTTAACCCTTTTGGTTTCTTCCTTCCTTCCTTCTTTCCTTCCTCCCTCCCTCCCTCCCTCTTTCTTCCTTTCTTTCCTTTCTTTCCTTTCTCTTTTTATTTTTCTGTTTTGCTTTGTCTCTGTCTTTCTGTCCCTGTCTCTAGCTCTCTCCCTCCCCACCTCTTTCTCTGTTTCTCTTTCTCTCCTCCCTCTATCATTGGATTTTTTTCATTCATTGGCTTTCACTCATAATCACCTCTTCCATCATCATAGACTTTCTGACTTTCAATTCATGCCTAGTCCCTACATCTTCCTTGTTCAAACTATCTACCCTCTTTGAAGACTTCATCCCAGTCTGTGCAGCTGATTTGATCATCCCTGTGAATTCTATTACTGTACCATATGACATTTTCAACACTCATTTTTAAATAATATTTGCCAAAATAGAATTCACAGAATGTTTTCTTCACTCAATCTAGGTCCAGAGTGACTTCCTATATGTCACTACTTTTGGCATAGAAGTCATAAATTAGTTTTTCTGTTAAATTAAAGGAAGGATTTACAATATATGACAATCAAATTTTTCTTGTCAATTCCACCCCAGAATTGTTGGTCTTGTTACTGGTTCAACTCCACAAAAGAAATGCTTAGCAACCTTCAAAACTCTTCAATGTTTTTGCTTTTTTCTTCTCTCTCTCTCTCTCTCTCTCTCTCTCTCTATTTCTCTCTCTCAGTAGTTCATGGGGTTGTTCATAAGTTGGTCAGTGTTTCCAAATTGGTGAGGGGATCAATTACAGCTGGTTCCCGTTGTTTTTCTTTCTTTCTTACTCCGCCATCTTTCCAAGGGTCACTTTTAAAATATTTTTTGGTAACAAATACATGTATTTTTAATAATAGAGATAGGGCATTGATAATAACAAGCATGTATATAGTTCTTTAAGGCTTACAAAGAACCTTTACATATGTTATCTCATTTGATCCTTACAACAATCCTATGAGGTAAGTGCTATTATTATCCCCATTTTACCAATGAGGACCCTGAAGATAAGAGAGGTTAAGTGATCCACTAAGGATCACACAACAAGAAAAGTGTCTGAGGTAGGATTTGAATTTATGTCTTTTTGACTCTAGGTCCAGTGCCTTGATCAATACCACATATTTTCAATTTCTATAGTATGTAAGAGAGAAATCAATGGCATGTGGTATAGTAAAAGCCTCTGGGGGATGGAAAATATTGTCAGGGGATGAGGACTGGGGTGTAGGGGAAATGGCGTTTCAGGATGTTCAAACATTACTGAGGGTACAACAAATAGCTTGTTCTGGCTTTGCCTCTGCTTTACTTTTTTTTCTTTTTCCTTTCTGTTTCAGATGCTAAGGTTCACCATGAGTTACTACTCCCTCCCTCTTTAGTCCCTGAATTTGTTGAATTATGGCTCAGGGGTTCTTCATTTTTTTGGTGTGTCATGGACACCTATGGCAGTCTGAAGAAGCCTATGGACCCTTTCTGTGAATATTTTTAAATGCATAAAATAAAACATACAAGGTTACAAAGGAAATCAGTTATATTGAAATATAGTTATCAAAATTTTTTTTAAAAAAATAATTCATGGACCCAGAAATCCCTGCCCAAGTATGCCTGGAAGAAAACTGAGATATCATCTAGAGGTCTAGTCTAAACCGTCATTTTACAAATTACTAAACTGAGGTCTGAGAAAAGAAGTGACTTGTCCAGGGTTACACAGAGTGAACATTTGAACCTAGAACCTTTGAATCTAAATCCAGTTTTTTTCCTACTGTACTACAAAGCAGGTCAGAATAAATCTCTAAAGTTAGCACAGAGACTGTTGCTTGATCAGTGGAAATATTTCCTGTTATATAAGAAAAAAATTTATATGTAAGAAATATTATCATATAGTTTTATTTGGGATTTTTTCTCAGCTCCTAATATTTCTTTTTTATTAATTTATTCTGATTTATCAACAATCACTTCTATAAGCTTTTGAGTTTTAAATTTTTCTCCCCTTCCCTCCCTGCCTCCCTCCCCAAGATGGCACGCAGTCTGATATAGGCCATACATATACATTCCTATTAAACATATTTTCACATTAGTGATGTTGTGAGTAAGAATGAGAACCAATGGGAGGAACCACCAGAAAGAGGAAATAAAACACAACAGAAGAAAAAAAATAGCAAATAGTATGCTTCGATGTGCATTCAAACTCCATGGTTCTTTCTTTGGATGTGGATAGAATTTTCCATCACGAGACCTTTGGAGATGTCTTTGATCCTTGTATTGCTGAGAAGGGCTTAGTCTGTCAACATTAGTCATCACACAACATGGCTGTTACTGTATACAATGTTCTCCTGGTTCTGCTCATGTCACGCAGCATCAGTCCATACAAGTCTTTCTAGGTTTTTCTGAAGTCTGCCTGCTCATCACCTAATGTTTCTTTATCAGACTAGAAAGAAACATGGAACCTAGTTCCCCAGAGGTTGTTTTTCCTAACCAAAATGAAGAATGGAGGGGTATCTCTACTATCATAGATATCGGGTATAGTGCAGTGGATATCAAAGTGTGATCTGGGGACTCCTGTGGTCCTCAGGACCCTTTTGAGAATCTTTGAGGTCAAAATTATTTTCATGATAGTATTAAGATATTTACATTTCTAATATAGTAAATATTAATACATGGGACTCCCCATTAACAAAAACTCTTTGGGGACCCTCAATAATTTTTAAGAGCATAAAGGTGCCCTGAATTTGAGCACTAATGGTGTAATGGAATGAGGCCTGGATTGGGAGTCAGGGGAACTGGGTTCAAATCCTGGCTTAGCTGTATGCTACCTACATGACCTTAAGCAAGTCAATTAATTTCTTTGAGCCTTAGTTCCTCATCTGTAAATTAAGGGGTTGGACTAGATGACTTCTAAGATTTCTTCTGTCTTTAAATTTAGGATGATAACCATAGTGACAGTTTTCTAGCAGGCAGATTTTCCGTATTGTCAGAGCTATAATATGGTGAGCTATTGGCTCATTACAGATAGTCTCTGGGCTTGGTTTTTAGGCATTTTAACTTTATTGTCTTCAGGACTATTCATATCAGATGATAAACCTGAAGACAAAGCAAGAAGATAGGCTAAAAGAGATGAAAAGTTTGTTGAAATTAGATTTCTGTAGTTCCTGGGAAGGGGAAAAAAAGTTCACCTCTGACAAAAATCAACATGTAAGCTGTTCATTTGCACAAATAGTACTGGGTTTTTTGATTTTGAATTCTGATACAGTTGTGGTGGGCAGCCATTCAGGATGTGGGGAATTGTCAGTCTGACATTAAGAGCTTACAAACATTCCATTGGTTTTGATAATTTAGGAAAAGATCCAAACTCCTATGTGATTGTCTATGGTGATTGACAGGCATCATGAAAATGGCAAAAATAAATAAGCAAACAAACAAATAAATAAATAAAAGCGCTCTGTTTGGTTGTTCCACAGCTCAGTTAGTGATCTGTATCTCCATTGGCTCCTTAAAAAGACAAGATTTTTGCCATTTATCTATAAAACCCAGAGGGGACATCATTTAACACAGGAGTGTCTGAGTTTTCTCTTACTCTCAAAGTTTTGTCCACACAAACATGAGAACTATCATTATTGTAGACAATAACAGAGCAGAGGCCAATGGACCGGGAAAGAAAGGACTACTAGATTTGCTGATAGAAAAATCAAGATAAAGTTGACTATTTTCTTCCATTTTACTCCTATTAGGTCAAGCTGTTATCTTAGACTGCTGCTTAAGATAAGATGCTACACGCTCCTACCTAAATTTTTGCTGTATGGGGAGAAGTATCTCAAGACAACAAAAATTCCAGCGACAGTCTAAACACCCTTCAAATCCCAACAGCGATGGGTTAGAACTGGTAAATGAAATAAAACCAGATGAGAAATTTGGAACTTAAGGTGGCATTATTAGATCAATAATCAATCAATCAACAAGCATTTATTAAGTAACTACTAGGCGCCTGCTATTGTGTAAAGTGCTGGGTATGCAAAGATAAAAGTGAAACAATTTCTGCCTCTAAGAATTTTCTATTCTATCTGAGGAGAAAAAATATACAAGTATAAACATATACAGAATAAATACAACGTAATTTCAAGAGCAACAGCAGCTGGAGGAATCTGGACAGGTTTCATGTAGATGGTAGCATTTAAACTTAATTTTAATAATTATAATAATGATGATAATATTTGTATAGTGTTTATTATGTGCCAGGCACTGTGCTAAGCACTTTACAAATATCATCCCATTTGATCCTCTCAACAAACCTGGGAGCTAGGTGTTATTATTATCCTCATTTTACAGATGAGGAAACTGAGGTAAACAGGGTTAAGTGACCTGCCCAGGGTCACACAGCTAGTAAAGGTACGATGTCAGATTTTAACTCAGGCTGAGTCTTCCTGACCCCAGGCCCAGGACTTTACCCATTGCGCCACCTAGTGGCCAAAATGCACAGTACATACACAGTTCACAGTAATGCACCACAGAATGTCAGGAGTAATTCATAGGTTGGAAAAGTAGTTTGGGTCCAATTATAAAAGACTTTAAAAGCCAAATAAAGGAGTTTATGTTTCATCCTAAAAGCAATATATAGTCACTGGAATTTGTTGAGTAGGGAGATAGTTTGGTTAGATCAGTGCTTTAGAAAAAATGACTTTGGCAGCTGTTTGGAGAATAGATTGGAGTGAAGTGAGATATGAGACAGGGAGACCAACCAGGGGGTTATTGCAATAGGGGATGAACTAGGGTGGTGGCTGAATGGAGAGAAAATGATGCATGCAAAAGATGTTGTGGAGGTAAAAAAGACAGGATTTGGTCACTGACTTGGACATGGGGAATGAGGAATAGTTTTCAATTGAGTCAAGGATCATGACAAGGTTATGAAACTAAATAACAAGAAGGATAGTTATGCCCTCAACAGAAATTGTGATGGGTTTGGAAGAAAGGTGGTTTTTTGGGAAAAGGTCAATGAGTAGAATTTTGCACAGTTTGAGATTATTACGGAACACCTGGTTTGAAACGTCCAATAGGCAGTTGGAAATGTGCAACTAGTGTTCAGCTGAGAGACTGGGGCTGGGAATCATCTGAAGAGAATCCAGGAGAGAGCCTTGGGGTACATCCACATCTAGGGGACCTGATATGGATGATGAGCCAGCAAAGGAAACTGAGAAGAAATGTTCAGACAAGTAGGAGGAGAATCAAGAGACCAGTGTCACAAAAACCCAGAGGGGAATGAGAATCCAGTGAGAAAAGGGTGGTCTGCAGAATCATATGCTGCAAAGAACTCAAGGAGAATGAAGATTGAAAAAAAGTCTATCAGATCTGTCCATTCAGAGATCACTGATAACTCTGGAGAGAACAGTTTCAGTTGAGTGCTGAGATCTTAAACCATATTGCAAAGGGTTGAAAAGAGAATGAGTGGAGAGGAAGTGAAGGTGACAGGTGTAGACAGCTTTTTCTGAGTTTTGCTGGTAGAGGCTGTTAGTCAAAGTAAAACACAGGAGACTCAGATATACAAACATTTCAAAAAATAATAAGAAAAACCCACATATTCCCTCCATTACCATCTCCATACTTGTCTGCCCAGCTCTTGATGTCATCAGTGAATGTAATCCCAGCTATGTTAGAAGCTCTGAGTCCTTCTAATATAAGGGGAAAATGTACGTATAAAGCTTGGGATATGCATGTACTTTGGAAATGTACATGTATTATGTCCTGCATATGGTTAGGCAGATTGTCACTGTAGTACTCTCCCAAGTGATGCTTTGTATGGTGCCATTTCTACTGCATAGATTGGAGTGTTAATGTGCATTTGCTTATTTTAATTTCAGGTAACAAAGGTTGGTTATCTAGAATGCTGGGAAAATCATTCTTGTTTTAAAGCACTGATGCTTGTGTTTATACTGTATGTTTACAATCATTAGACTTGCTCCAGCTGACCTTTGCAAGAGACTGCAAAGGGTTTTGGCCCAGGGGAGGAAAGTAATCCGAATTCCAAAGCATATTGATATGGGACTCTCTTCTCACTGGTGGAGGTCAATTCTTTGCACCTGCATAAGGGACAGGGCAAAGTTGGTACCTTTAGTCTGTTTGGTTTCTTTAGCTCTCTTCAGCTCGGACTTTCTCAGGCTGCTTCTGACTTTCAACTTGGAGAGAGAAGATATATGATGCCAACTTCACTTCAAGTTGCTGAAGGGAGAAAAAGACTCAGGGAAGAAATTAACATAAGAGGAGCTGGTAGTCTCCATCTTGTCCCTATCTCCAGCTTGCTACACTAGAGACTTTGGGGAATTTCTCCTTGGGTGAGGTCTTGGACTCTTTCTCTTGATTGAGCTGTTACCTCACTCCCATTGGAAAAACTTCTTCACCTTGTCTTGTCTGGCATATATCTTCCTATGTATACTTAGGGTGATTTCTGTTTTGCTAATGATA